CATGAGCACTAGCAGCAGGACTTCTAAGGAAACTACAGGTTTCCCTCCTAATGCAGCCGCAGCATTGACCAGTGCTTGAGACACAGCTAAGCAGTGTTGAAATGTGCTCTTCAGCAAGAAGCTGAGCTAGAAATACATGAATGGGAAAATCTCATCTCTGCCTCCATGGCTGAGGTGGGTCTCCTTGCAGTAAAATTGAAGCAAGGGAAAGAGGGTGAGCAGGATTCACAGCACCCAAGCAGATGAATGGTATGGCTATGCAAAGCCAGACCACTGAGTAGCTCACTCTAGGATAAGCTCTTTGGGCACTGAGAACTACTGCACCCTCAGCTCTGGATCACCTACTCCCACCACTCAGCTGACTTATACCCCTCTACCCCGCCACACAGACGCTGTGCATGCATACCTTTCTCACTCTCCCTTTCCTGAACAGCTAGCTCCCTATTGCCCAATTTAGCTACTGCAGCTGTGTACTGGTTTGAGGTTTTCTTCTTAATGGTCATGGTTCAGTTTCTTCGCAATACCCCATAGTGAAAGGGCAAATGATAAAAGGCAGAAGGAAGTTTGGGCTATAAACTAAACAAAATAATGTGACTGCAGGTTTTGATCGTAATAATGGGCTTGTAGCTATATTTTGCAACTACTAGATGTCTGTGTGTGTAGTAAACAGCTCCAAATGATTTGTGGTCTCTAGTAAACAAGTCAGACAAAACTGGAACCCTGCTTGTGTCTGTGGTTAGTTGTTTTCTTAATAAACGATGGAGGGGAGTGTAATTCTATAACTCTACATATCACAGTATTAACTGCCATTGTACCTGAAGCCAGCCCAAGTTTATTTTCTAATTTTAACTAATTTACCACCAGAGGCATAAGGAGATATTTTCTTTCTGGAGAGTAAAAGAATGACTACTTTTTGGAAGGCACTCACAGAATCAGTACTGAGAGAGGAGCTGAAAGAAGAATTTATAAGGAATCAACACAAATATGCAGACACAAATAGGAAAACATAACTATTGTTTACAGTTATGTGAAGAAGCATATTTCTCCAAAAGCAAGACAATTTCATTTTATATTAAAGGTCACAGCTAGGTGAAAGGGGGAGAGGAAGAATACCAAATTTTACTTAACATCTATGAGTAATTTATTATATTAGGCAGAAAGCACAGTAGAGATAAACCTTATAAACTAGCTAAATCAAAGATGTTGAGTCAAAATTGCCTCAAATGTCAAGGCTCCAAAATCTTTTCAGAGATGAATTTTTAAAATTTACTTTTATCAAGAAATGCCACAATTTCAAAATGGCACAGGGCTAAAATGCCACACAAAGAACTATGGCAGCCACCTTTCAAGCAATATTAGGTAGAAATCAAAAGGAGGGAGTGCAATAGATTCATACAGACATTGAACACACAATAAGACAAATACTAAAAAGAGGAGGCCCAGAATGAACACTCATATATACCCCATTATCTGTCAACCTGTAAGCTGAAGGTTTCAATCTTACTTGGTTGTTTTAGCCTTCTTGCTAGCCTGGAGGATAGCAGCCAAGAGCCATTGGAAGACATATGTCCTCTATGGTTAGTTCTCAAAGTCACCAGGCAGGACCACTATACACTTAAAGCTCTGAAAGATCTTTTGGGCTGTGGGAGGAGAGGAGGAAGGCTAAGGAATATGCATGCCCTCTTCTAATACCCCACTCTGATACACTGCGTCAGGAAACAATTCCTTGTTGTTGCTGCCAATGATAAATGGATTTCTAGTAGTCATAAATCCTTAATGTGCTCACTACATTGGAGGTGAGGGGAGTACAGTCCGTATGGACAATGTATTTGGACCATAACCACATACCTCAAAGATATTTTAAATATGTTGTTATTGTTGTATAGACAGACCACAGTTTAAATGAGAATCACTTTCATCTGATGTATAAAAGTACAGAAAATGCAATAAAGAAGTATTTTTTTCTTTAAAGCATTCTTATTTTACAGATAATTTTGTCTAAATTATATATACTAGATGGCAATTTTTAATGAAAGCAGAGGAAATTAACCAAACTACAATTATGCAACTATTATTTGATGTACAATGGTGATCACATATTACAATAATTAGATTCCTTCCTTTTTTAAAATCATTTTCTTCTTAGTAAAGTAAAAACCAGGCAACCTTTCAAATTTGTCACAGGAAAACCATTAAGTGTGGGGGGTTTTTTGTTTGTTTTTTTACAAACTCTTGTATTACTTCTTCTTTTAAAGACCACACTTCTTAGCATGCAGTAAAATTCTTAGTGTGATGAGTGAAGATTTAAACACTTCCAAAGTAAAACAAAAATGGGAACACCAACAATGCACCAGTCTGGTGGAACAAATATAATCTGGATAGTCTGTACATGTAAGACATGCTCTGCATGTCTGACTGGCTTCTGTTTTATGCTAAGATAATTTGGCTGACTTCCCAGAAGGTAGTTCTATCATATCCCAAAAGATCTCTACCATCTCACCCCTCCATTAAATGCTAACAATAAAAACCCACATTTGGCTGCATGATATTAAATATCTAACTTTTTAAAACTGCTTTATAAGGATAAGAGCACACAACAATTAGGAAAACATTATCACTATAGCAGACTGGGGTGGGGGTAGCTCTAAGACTTTCAGCTGATGTAAATCAAAACAGGTACACTAAAGTCAGTGAGATTATACTGGTTCACCTCATCTGAAGGTCTAATTCTAACCATTTAAAATGTTCCAGTCAAAGGTTTTCTTTTGGGAAGAGAGTCAGAGGAGCACTCTTTTCTTGTTTTTGAAGCAAAAATGAAAAATGTTCTGATACACCGGAATAATATTTTCCAATTTATTTTGGATCAACATCTACTGACCATATTCAGACAGTTCATCTGCTGTAGGAGTGTTTAAATAATATCTGCATTTGCATTTTTTTTATGGAAGGAAGAATAAAAGGAAACATCAAGAAAATTAATTCATATGGCAACTCACTTTTCTATGTCTAATAACCAAGCAAACTTCAGTGGAATATTTCACCTTACTTTCATCACAAGTTTATTGTCCTCTTTCAACTCTTACCTTCACATTGTCTGGATGAAGTCCTCCAGGGTGTTTGTCCATGTACTGACATAAATCAGTATGCTGAAAGAAAGTTAAAAGGGAAAAATAAATGTATTAATATCCCCATGATCACAACAGATCAATATCCTTTCACTTCAAAGTCACTGTCTCCTCTGGATACAGCAAATGGAAGACAACTAGAAAATATATTTTCTCACTTGTACCATGTTGTTTTTCCTTCAGGCTCTCTTTTAGTTAACCAGCTCTGTAACTTGACTGATAAGACTATTCATAAAATCTAAACTATATAAGGTTTCTTTCTAATTTCCTACACATGGTTAATTTATTGATTTAAATCTCAGTCAGTAACAAACACAGTACGCCATTGTCACAATCATTTCAACAGTGATGCCTATAGGTACTATCTGTGGAGGAAGCAAATAAAGAAAAAATATCACAAATCCTACTTTCACTGTTCACATCAAAAGTCTTGAAATGTAATGTTTTATGAATAAATTGAGCAGGATTTTGGATCTTGATCATTTACAAAATAATTCCTAAACTAGTTGCAAAACAGAGTACTGACATAGCTTTTCCTGAAAATCTACGAAATCTATGAAAACGAAGAAATAGAGAGGCACGTCACAGCATATATGCATGTTATTGCATAAAATTATCATGTAGCTATTGGAAATAGCCTCACAGCAAAGATTATTTTAGATTTGCACTTAAAGCCAAATTAAAATCTGTTTTTCACTTCTTAATTGAATGTAGTCTCTGTGAATTTATCATAATAACTCTTCAGAGGACAACTGAATTTTCCATGTACATTTGTAATAAATATTTATTAACTCCTGCAGGAAGCATTTAAAATGCTCTCTTTTAAATTTTCCCCTCACACTTGTTTATTTTCCTCCCAATAAATAACATTTTTTCCAATTAGATTGCAGTATGAATCCCTAAACTTAGCTTCTGAAATTAAAGTCAGGGTGGACAAAGCAGCAGCATTTGCTACCAAAAATGCCAACAAACTGGGATTGATCTCACACTTCAGAAACCTGGAACACATCTGGGAAAAAAAAATCAACAAGCATTCCGGCAGTAGCTACTTGGCAATGTATGCCTCATGTACAGAAACAGACCAACTGTGCAAAATGGCATTCAAGGTGCGCCTTGGACAGAAGCTAATCTCCTCCAAGCCAGAATGGTCTCCTGGGCTATACTGTGCAACCTATTCAACCTCAGGAATCATTCTCTTATGTTCATTCACAAGCTTGCCATGAACATCCACTTAAGTTTCCACCAGATACGATTTAATTT